TTAAAGAAATGTATTTTTAGCAATAGTTAGAAATCAGTTAGATGCTTTCTTCTATAAATCAATTTTTTTTTTGTTTTTTTGTTTTTTTGTTTTTTTTTTTTTTGGTTTTTCTCCGGTACCAGGAACTGAACTCACGACCTTGCGCTTGCCAGGCAGGCGCTTTGCCGCTGAGCTAAATCCCCAGCCCCTATAGTTAATTCTTTACAAGTATCATAGGCATCTGTACCTTATAAAGAAGATAGAATCATATTTTGACTTGTGAAAATCATTTGCAATTTATTTTTAGAAATCTAGATTTGTTTGTTAGCATTTAAATACCTGGCAGAAATAATTAAGAAATAATCATTGTTGAAAAGAATAAAATAACATGAGGTATAAGCTATACCTCTCCACCGAACCGACAATATAACCAACTAGCATTCCACTGTTTGGATAAACTAGGAAAAAACAGGTGTATCAAACACCATGAATATTTACATATTTGTGCATAATAGTACCCTGTCTTCACTCATTACTATCATTTCATTTAATTCTCCTAACAACCATGTTAGTTAGATAACATTGCATTTCCCATTTTGCAGATAAGTCACACACACACAGAAAAGAGAGAGATGGAGAGGACTTCCCCAAGTATGCTAAAAGCAGCTGAGCCCATATTTGAAACTAGGTCACCATTTGTAAAGATTATGCTCTTTCTTCTCTACTAAAATATTTCTTTAATTGACCTTAAGCCAGCCTCTGTAAGGAATTACTAGCAATATTCTCAGACAAACTCATGTTATCTGGTCCACTCTTCTCTACTGAGGGGTTTATAATTTGAAGAAAAGTATCAGTAGCCTTTGAAGTAATGATTTTCTTTGATAACCCAAATAATAAATGTCTAGAAACACACTGTACTCTTAGATCAAATCCAGTTGACTGTACAAAAGTGGAGATAGAAGACGGATGAAGTCAAGGATTTGATAGAGTAAGTTGCTGGCATTTTTAGAGTCATATGTAGGACATTTCCTCATCCCTAGTACAGTTGGAATTTTCCATAACCATTTGGGTACATGGGATTGTGTAGGAGTAGGCAAAATAAATATAAAGGAAAAAAAGAATTTTCACAATCACACTTAAAAGCAACATTGCATCTTCATAAAACTGTGTTTAAGTGGAAGAAATGTGAGTTTTATTTATTCCATTATTGTTAGTGAAAGTGAGAATAAAAATGTATAAACTGTAGAAGAAAAGACCACTTGTCTATTAGCATAAAATAATAGGTATTTACCAGAGTAGCCCAACCATGTTAAAGGTGAAACATTGTTTGGTGCCTTTCTACATATAGATTGAGATTAGAGGATAAAATTTTAATTTTTAATCTTTAAGGAAACAGTAAAATAGATTGTTAAAAATCAAACCGGATCTGCTTTGTTGACTTTTTTTAAGAGAGAAAGATAAGTGTGTTTTAGAATTTCTAGACAAAGACCAGTCTGAATAGTTGGCTGTTCTCTCAGTCTGGTCAGTTGTTCTGAATCAGTCTTGTAGGCCCAGGGATAAGGATGTGGATTTCACCTCCGGTCAACAAATGTCAACCCTAGTCTTGGTAATCTCTGCCTCCCTTTACATGGGTAAGAAAAGTTTGGAAAGAGTTCTTGACACAGTAAAGGCCAATGGTGACTCAAAGAAGAGGATTTGTCCAAGAGACAGGTATTAGAATAGTATCATGGAAAGCCACTGTATTTTGGGAAGAGAAAATTCCTAACTGCTAAGAATTAAGGGGATATGTTTTAAGTCATTTATTATAAAACAATTCTAGTTTTCTTTCTTGATTTTCAAGTTCAGTATATATCCACTGAAACTTGGGTGTCTTCTGGAACATTAGAAAACTATATACTTGTCTCTTCTGTAGATCAATGTACTGCTAAAACAAAGAAGTCCAGACATGTCCAATACATTTGCAAAGTTAATCATATTATAATCATGGAATTCTATTTAATATATAAAGTAAAACATAGAATGCATGTTATTTTAATACATTTTCTTAAACACAATTTATTTAAAAAATTATATCAGTAGTCATGTAAAGCTAAATTGATTATTTAATCAAATTATATTATCTATCAGTCATATTTTACTATGGTATAATGACTTGATTTGATATATTGAGAAAAATATATACCAAGACATTATATCTGCAAGCTTTTCAAGTCAATAATTAATTCTAGGTTTCCTGGATTTAGCTAAAATTAAAACCAAATAAATTTATTTATAAACATGCCTATCTTTATGACATAAATGTGAATAAACTATAGTTTAACAGACTCTTATAGTATTTGAGGCATTTGAGATAGCTATTGCCAACATGTCATTTTTATTGACCTCATAAATCTTGTATGCACTCTTCAAATACAAGGAATTTTGAAGTAAGGAGACCTCCTACTCACAGATAGAAAAGTTCAAAATTTGAACACATTTGGCTGTTTTCTTTAAGCCAAAGGATGATTTTATTTTATCGCAACTGGATACAAAGCCACTTCCAAAGGTAAAGAAAGAATAATGAAGAGCAAGTGTCTCTTCAAATGTTGCAAAATAATTGTGACCATAGTTAATATTATATGGGGCTCTGACCAGTAGTGAAGGCTGGACAAGGTACTTTTCTCTGATATTGTCCTCTTCTCATGGTTCCATGTCCCTTTAGGAGACACTACATTTGGGTTAAAAACCTCCACTTGGTGATAAACATATGTTTAGAAACATTAATCTCATTAGTCAAGCTTATTTACTGTTCAACAATAATTACTTTTTCCAATCTTTATTTCTCAAAATCAGCTTCAAAATTTCAAACTTCTGTTGGAAAAGACCTAAAACAGTGTAGAAAGAAGAGAGCAGTTGAACAGGGGAGATTTCCTAGCCTAGACCCATCAACCCCCCTGACTCTGGTGGCCTCTATTTTCTTTCTTTTTTTTTTTTTTTTTTCTGTCTTTTTGAGACAGGGTCTCACTGTGTAGTTCAGGCTTGCCTTGAGCTTACTTTGTAGCCCAAGCTGGTCTCAGACTTGCAATGATCCTCCTGCCTCGGCCTCCTGAGTGCTGGGATTACAGGCATGCACCACCATGCCCAATGTTCCATTTCCTTTTTATATCTCTTCCTCCTCTATTTGCCCCTTTCTGTTATCTTTTAGTGACAGCATAGGGATTAAAATAAACAAGCAGTTAAAATCTAATCAATAGGAACCAGAAAGGATGTTTAATAGTTTTCCTCAAGATATGGAGTAGAATATATATTTCTACCAATTAACAAATCAATTTTAGTCATCTCCAAAGCAAGAAGTTTTAGCCAAAGGGACAAGAATGTCTTCCCCCTCTTCAAGAGCACCCTTGAAGGAAATAGAGTTAGATAAACATGGAAGGTCAGACTTAGGGTTTAAAACCTAAAAAGAATCTTTGGCCTAATAAATTCTTTGTGCCAAACTTTTTGTAAGACTCCGATGAAGACAATGAGGTAGCAATAATATATATATGCAGGAACTTTGAACATTTCATTAGGAGAAACTAAGAATAATCTTCCAAGCACATTAATATCTATGAAGTATCTACAATCCCAGCACAAATAGCAAGTGACAAGAATGAATGACATCTTCCAGAGAGGATATCTGAATGAATACACAGAAAGTACTATTTTTGAACACTGAGATTAAAGACTGTCTTAGATAAGCAGAATTGAATATTGATATTGCAATTCTGAAATATAAGTGCACATAAATGTGCTTCATGTAACCTTGTATGGAATTCTTATGCCAGATTATGTGACCCTTTAGGATAAATAGGTTTTTATTAAACAATCAGCCAGGTTTTTTTTAATGCTTAAGGTACCTCCCTGAGCAAATTCATTTCTTAGTATTCAAATCTTATCTTGCTTTTATGTACATTCTTAATTTGATCTTGTAGTCCCTATCTCCAAATCTCACCTTCTAATTTTGCTTCCTGCTTTTCATCTGCACTTTGTATTTTGGCTCCAGAATATCTACCAATTTCTTCCTTTTAATTTATTTTTATTAGTATATGTTTGCATTACATAATGATCACATGCATTGTGGGGGATATGTACATGTACATATCACATCTTAATTCTTTTTTTGTTGTTGTTCCATTCCCTTTCCCTCCCATACCTCCAGCCCTTCTTCCCTTCCCCACTCAAATATTAATGATTATTGTGTATCAAAGAGTTGGTTCACTTACAGCTACCTAGAATCTAACATAAAAAATAATTGTTAATCATTTCTAATGTTGGATTATTGATATACACTTGGCAGCACCATTATCTTCTTCTATATTCTCTATTAATTGGAGGAGGGAATCTTGGTTAATTAGAAATAAAGGATTACAGGTGCTACCCCACTACAAAAGGAAGGAACTCTGTAACAAGGAGGTTTGTTAAAGGTCGCTGCTCATAGATATTAGTAGAAAAGCCAAGACTAGAAATCCAAACATGCTCCACTTTGATGTTCTTTC